TACATAATTTTATTTGATATGTGTTTTGATAAACTAAGAATTTGTGATATGGACATCATAAACCAAGTTATTAGTTAACATCCATTGTGCACCTGGAACTCACACTGAACTCTTCTGGAATCCTCATCTCACCGAGTCTTTATTGTCTTTATTTAATGTCTTGGAAGGAAATAAGTACAGATAATTTTTTTAACTGAAGCTGATTTGTATGATTTATATAAAGTCTAGTCTATGTGAATTTTCTCTATTTAAGCAAATTGGTGTTTATTCGGTTATATAAGTGGAGAGACCAAAACTCTACTGAAATTAGGGACTTGCCATAGAGACCATTCCACTGAGGGTTGGACCATACGGCTGAGTCTGTTGTGCCTGGGTAGTCTGAAGGTGATCTACAGTGACTTGCATAGCTGCTGATGCCCATTTCCCTTCTGGATTGTGTGGCAAGGCATTGGCAGTGTGGGGGCTGCAGAGGTGTCGTGGTTTAAACCTAGCCAGACAGCTCGTTTACTCACTCCCAGTGAGTGGTGCCGGGCTGGAAGCAACCGAGGCCCACTTCCTCCCCCCGGGGGTTCTCCCCTTCCCCGCTCCTGGAGGGATGGGGAGGAGAATCGAAAGAATGCAACTCCCACGGGTTGAGACAAGAACAGTTGAGCAACCAATGTACAACACAAATCACCACTGCTACCACCAACGACAACAATGATAAGAGAAAATAACAAGGGAAGAGAATTTGATACCACCCGCCAAAAAACGAGTCCGACCCAGAAGACCCTGTGTCCTTCCGGGTAACTCCCAGTTACTCCCCCCGAGCATGATGTGCTGTGGTATGGAATATCTTTTCGGCTAGCTTGGGTCAGGTGTCCTGTCTCTGCTTCCTCCCAGCTTCCCCTCCTCCCTGGCAGAGCATGAGGCTCACAAAGTCCTTGGTCAGGGTAAACATTACTTAGCAACAACTGAAAACATTGGTATTATCAGCACTGTTCCCAAGCTGAAAGTCAAAACACAGCGCTGCACCAGCTACCAAGAAGGAGAAAAATTGACGGCTACTGCTAAACCCAGGACAAGAGGTCACCTCTGTAAGGGGAAGGCAAGCCAGTTCCAGGCAGACCTACCTCTGGCCAGAGCCCGTTACATCATCCTGTTTTTCTTACATGGAAACAAGCTTTTCATTGACAGCTTGTGTGTTCGGGTGCCCCACTATCAAACAGGGAAGCCAAATGGTCCAAGCTCTAGTATCCACAGGCCAGTGGACAGAAATCACATGGAGCCTGAATACAGACAGTATCCCAAGAAGGAATTAAATAAACTAAAGGAGGTGGGACATTCTCTCTTTCTTGGACATTTATTGCTACTTCTTTATTCTTTATATTACCAGTTATAATTCCACTTAAGGGAGGATGTGGTTAACATGGATGATAGGAGAAACTCTCTAGGTTATTGTATTTTCATCTGTAGTCAGTTCAGGAAAGAGATAACCCTTACCCATAGCTAAAGCAAGTCTAACAGAGAAGAAATTTGAATGCAAATGGAACTTCTGAAATTAAAAACTGTTGACAAATCTGATCTTTGGTGTGTTTATGAGGTCTTAGGTGTACTTACACACACACATATAACTGTACTAATTTAAATTATTATATTGACTTTAATGAGATGTGTCAGAAGGGTAATTCATTGTCACTGTGCTTACACTGACCATTCATTCTATTGCATAGTCTCAAAAGATTTCATAATTTTTAAATAAGCATTTGGAAAGTTGGGAGATTTTCCTGCAATTGTTGGCTTCTACCGCCTTTTGACTTCAGTGCTACATGATAGTACACATATATTTAGTTGGCAGTGGTAAAAATACACAAAGATTATTACATGTTCCGTCTTCAAACAAGCTATAATCTGATATACTGTGATCCACTTCACTATCAGACTTATAAGAAAATAAAGTACAGATAAACTTTAATCTGGCTTGACACTTGAAACTAAAAAGTTGTAAAATGTGTCTTTGGTTTTTAGTAGCTATGAAAAAAAAAAAGATCTCCAACTAGCAATGAAGTCGTGCTTGATGTCATTAGAGGTCTATATTTCCTGTCTGACAGATTTTAATGCCTTTTTTTTTCTTTTTTTTTTTAATGAGGTATAAGGTAAAATTCAGAAAAGCATTGCAATTGCTTTGAAGACTAAGTATCACTGAAAGTCAATTTAACTTTATAACTTTTGAAAAATGAACTTACAGGAAACTTGTCTCTGTCTAGTTGGCTGTAAAAAGATGTGGAAGCAAATCTGCTCTCTACTCTTTTAATCAGAAAAAAATGAGTTTGATGAATGTAGCACTTGCACTGTTCAATAAACTTAAAGGTGTTTAAATCAAAGCTTCCTATGATATAAGTAGGTTAAGCACAATTAAACAGACTAAAGTAACACTATTCTTCTAATGCCCAAAATGGAAAGCCCCCAACACTCATTTTCCATATACATGACGGTATGGCAAGTTTCAAAAGCTACCAGACCAGGATTGCTTTTGAGTGAGGATGGCTCAGATTCATCTTGAAGGTACTTTACGAGAATACACCTATCAATAACCATTCTTCTCTCTTTTTGAATGAAGGGGCACTAGCCTGGCTTACTGTAACGAACAGAGCCATAGAAGTATGATCTGAAGACAGAGGTGATCTCTCAAGCAAGACACTCCTGAGCTGTGTTGCAAACAGTGTGCCATTTCTTGTTACAGTGTTAAACGGGAAAGAAAAAACGTTATTCATGCAGTAAAATGAATCAGGGTAAATTATTAATAAAATATCTTAGTTCTATCCTTCTATTTGCTTTATTTTAGTTTTTTTTCTGTTTGCTTTTTTTTTTTTTTTTTTAGGAGGACTTATGTCTTCCCTTTATCCCCATACCCAATTTGTAGTAAAAGCTGAGTGCCAGGTAAGCCTTTCAATTTTGCTATCAGTCTTCTCTGCTTCTTAAGCGTTTCACAGGTTTGCTGAAATCAACTGCTCTCCTGCTGCTACTCTTTCTCAGCAGGGAACTTAGTTCTCAGGTATTTTATTCTCTGCCCCTGGAAATCCTATACAATAACACATTGGTCAGTGACATTCTCTACATATTCTTGTAAACCCATCTAGTCTCTCAATTATCTTCATGCTGAGTGGAAATTGTGTAAAGGTTGCCTGCATATATCTTAGGATTTTGAAAACATCACAGACCAAATATTTATGCAATGGCTGTGCAATGTCTTCAAAACCTGTGGATGTCCTTACAGAGTTTCTGTCTTGATTTTTACCTTTCTTTGTTCTTTCATTCTCTGCCAAGAAAAAAATTACAAAAAATTATACAAACACCACCACAAAAAAAAAGAATAAATCTTGAGATAAATAATAGCAGGTGACTTACAAGTTTATTATTCCAGCAACCATTTGTTTCATTAGAATAAATATTAAGTTAGCAGTCGTAGTGGTTAGTACAAAGAAAGAATTTCACATGGGGATTATACATAACACACCATGTTGTGTGGTTGACTGTTTGCTCTTGAGGTCCTACAAATGAAGTTTTAACAGCTTAAGATGAGTTAAGCACCTTTTGTTTACCCTCAAAATCAAACTAGGTTACTAAATTGTCTGGGGGAAATCCTGGATAAATACAAACTATAGTAAATGTATACCACAAGCTAAATTCTAAATAAAATCAATTTTATTTACTTCAAGTGTACACACTCTAATTGCACAGTAGCTTTAATTCCGTGATGTGGGGCCGCGGGGGCTGCAGAGAGCTACTCCTGCCTGAGAGGGCAGAACGGCGTTCTCCGGCGGCGATCGCCCTTTCCCTTCAGGACCGCGGGGCACCAGGCAGCAGCCGTAAGCGGACACGTTCCGTTTGGGGCGCTGTTGAAGCCGCCGTGCCCTATCGCTGATGATCTGATTACACCCTCGGCGGAGACGCCGTCTGGCAGCTCGAGCACCGGGGCGGTACCCCGTTACCGGAGAGCTGGCGAGCGGAGGAGAGCGGCGGAGCTCGGGGAGGGCGCTCCGAGCTTCCCGGGGGCCGCGGGGAGGGAGGGTAGCGGGTAGCAGAGAGCAGCAGCGGGCAGCACCTCCGCTCCGGCCCCGCCCGCGGCTTCAGCACCGCGGACAGCGCCCAGCAGCTGGGCGGTGCTGGGCGGCCGGGTGGGGGTCCCGCGCACGCAGCTGCAGACACGGCGCCACAAGGGGAGTGCACTGCGCGCCTCCCGGCACGCGCACCGGGTGTCGAGCCGCCGACACAACACGCGCGCAGCGTGGGCACCGAGGCCCACGCAAGAATCAGCGGGCGTGCGCGGGCCGAGGCGCGCGCTCACACACGCGCGAGACTGCGCAGGAGCACGAACCCACGCGCAGCCGCAACACCCAAACATCGCGCCACGGCACGGCACGGCACACCCCGCCGCACGCACTTTCACGTGTCCCGGGACACGCGCGCTCGGTCTCCCACGAGCACAGTCGCACACACAGAGGCAGACACAGTCACACCTGCACACCCGAGACCGCACGCCGCGGGAGCGCACCCCGCCACCGCCAGGCAGAGGCGCACCGGCGCTGAGCCGCACGCAGGTGGGTACACACACACACACACACACACACACACACACACACACACACACGCACACACACACACACACGCACACGCACGCGCACGCACACGCACACGCACACACACTACCCTTAACGCACTCCAGCCCCGCACCTACCGCCACGGGGCGGCCCTCCTGCCCACAGCCTATGGCGCAGGGAGTCCCCCGTGTGAGCCCCCGCCTGCCGGGGCGCAGCTACCAATGGGAGCGCCCGGAGGGCGTGGTGCTCGTGGCCCCGCCTCCTTAGTTAAGGCGGGTGAGGGTCTCTCAGCGGCGGGAGGCGGGGGTGTAAAGGCGGAGTAAGGCTCGCGGTCAGCGGCAGGCACTGATTCGCGCACGGCCCTCCCCGCCCCCACCCGCTCCGCGCGGCGCGAGGGGAAGGCGGAGGCGGTGCCGCTGAGGGCAGCGCTCCGCCGCGGGAGTGGCGGGCGGGCGGTGCACCTGCGAGCGGCGAGACGAGCAGGGCGGGCGACGAGGAGCCGACCGGAGGCGCGCAGCGAGCCGGCGGCCGCGCAGCCCGGCCCGGCGTGTCCAGGCGCCGCGGCCGCGAGGCGATGGAGCAGGAGAAGTACCTGCCCGAGCTGATGGCCGAGAAGGACAGCCTGGATCCCTCCTTTGTTCACGCGATGCGCCTCCTGGCAGACGGTAAGGCTCCGCTCGCAGGGGCCCAGCGGCCGCCGCCGCCCCGCCTCTACCCCGGTGCGGGGCGCGGGCCACTCTTCGTGTCGGCGCACGGCAGCCGTGGCTGGGCGCCAGCTTAGGAACTCGTGTGTCCGTGCTGGCGTCGGGCCGGGCGGCGCGGCCCCGCTCCCCCTAGTCTCGGCGCTGAGACGGGCCCGCGAGCGGGGACCTGGTCACGCGTGGACGAGGCGAGGCGAGGTCGCGGAGCTGCCCGCGGCCGGACAGCGGCAGTTCGTGGGGCTTGTGTGGTCCCGGACGCTGCGCCGGGCTTCTTGTTGGGGGAGCCCGTCAGACGGGGCTCTGCTGTGGCCGCCTCAGCTGGCAGCGAGCGTGTGCCTCTGCTCCTCGCTTTGGGAAGCGGGCTGCTCTGGCTGCTCGGTGGTGGTGCACCGCCTCCGCTGTGCTTGGCTGCCCGCTGCGGGAAGGGCTTCCGTACTTCACGGTCTTATTTGGACAAAGGCAGACGCTGTTTTCTCATTAAACTCATTATTTCTTCTTTCCCATGCTGAAGTAATACGGTCTACATGGTAATGCTATTGTGCCGTTAATGGGACACTGTTCTAGTTGACTGCGCAATGTCAAGCATTGATTGGATATGGCTTATCAATTTCATGACACTGTTTCATCCAGGACACTGAGCACTTTCTCTTGGCATCGTATGAGGATCCAGAATTTGCTGCTTGTAACATTTTGTGTTCATCTTAATTTACTCTGCTTTCCTTGCTTTATGTGAGCTAGTTCTACTGGAGATTCTTGAAAAAAGTTTATCATTTAGTTATCTTTTTGTATCTACTCAACATAGTTACTAAGTGCAGGCCTTGTGGTACAGCATTTAAATTCCTGCAGAAGTGTAACCCAGTAATTTCTGTTTATACTTCTGTTTCTTCTGAGGTATATAATAGTAACTTCAAGAATCCTTGTTAAACTTGGAAACTAATGTAAAAAAAGTATTAAAGAACAGCACATAAATGAGGACAACCTATCAAACACTTGATGGAAGCTAGCGCAAAGAAATGGTTAGGCCCTTGACAAAGTCACAAATTAAATGCACATTCAGAGGTGGTGAATAATTTCCAAAGTTCTGTTATATCTTAAGGAAAATCGTAATGGATTAAAACTTGGACTGGCAGCAGTAATTGTCTGTGTCTTGTCATCAGTCTATGTAATTACTGTTGACTGTGAATGAAGATACTGAGTCCAGGTTTTGTTTGAGTGCTTCTGTTTTATAGCTTGGAGATTCAGTATGAATACCGACACATTTAGCACACTTTTGCCATAGCTACCTTGCTGCCGAAGGGTCAGCCACGCTACTTTTCACAGTTGTTTTTCTAATAAACATATGACAAAGAAAGTTCTTATTGGAGGGATGTATTTTTTGCACCTTGCAGTTCGGTCTTTTCCCAGAGGGGGGAGGTATCTACTGAGAGTGTGTGCTTGTATGCATGAGGAAGGAGGAAAATACATGAAGGACAAAATCGAAAGTGTGCAAAGTAAAGTTAAAAACAGAGAATAAAATGGGTGTTTCTAGGGATCAAGTCTGTTTGTAAATTGTATTTTGGACAGCTGAGATCGAATAAGTGATTAGTTTTCTCATTCCTTCTTAGTATAGGGAGGACTGCATGTGTTCTAGTGGATTTTTAAAAGATGAAGGTGAGTTGGCTGTAGGGAATGCTAATGTCGGATTCACACCAGATACCTGGCATTATCTTTCAAAACACCATCTGTCAAGCTTTCTAGAGATTCATTTTGGAGCCTAATATATGATGGCTATTAAAACAGTTTCATCAAGTTAAGAGTATAGCTACTTTAAGGAAACAAGAATTAATGTACTCATTGCTGCTGGATATAAATAGAAGGGAAATGTATAGAACTGGCAGATTTATTTTTCTTTCTGAATGCCCAAAGAACATGGGTCTGTGGTGCAAGGACCTCCGTAATGTTGTATTTCTGGCATATGTCTGAGACAAAGCATTATTTCCCTACTCTGGATTTCTTTTCTTTAAAATGCAATGTACGCTCAACTACATATATAAAAATAGCAGCCAGGTGTTATTTTTCTGGTATACTAAGCTTTCTTGATTGGCAGTAGGTTTTGTATAAAATGCCTAAGTGTGGATTTGAAGGTTTCTGCTTCAGAGTCGAAAGCCTCAGGCATTCATGCTGACTTGAAAGTGCTGTGATTTTTCATGTGTGTTGCTAGAACCTGAGGTTGAGAAGAGACATGCTGCTGTCTAAAGCTGCAGATGGGCACACAAGTGATAGGCATTCCAGAAATATGTTTCAGTTTATGATACTGTATTTTTTTCATAAAGATATGACCCCATCTTGTCGCTGTTTTTTGTTATTTGCTTGATTTATTCTTTTTTCTTGTGTGTTTTGGTGTACTTAAGTAATTTGTTACCTTTAAAATATGTTTGTAATATAATAGTCTTATGTCCTACAAGCTGACCTGTGTCAGGTACATGCTTGAATTGGTAGCTATTTACCCCTCACCACTGAGGGATCAATAGAAATTATTTACTTTAGCCATTATTTGGGTTAGAGCCTGCATGGTGTGTTGTGTGGTGAAACCCACAGAAAAGGGACGTTTTCTGTGGCAGAGATTTTGTGTACTTGCCAAGCAACACAAAGAAAGATAAGGAATGTGTATCTAAGACTTGCTAGTACCATCTTAGATACAGAGTGTAAACCCATAAACAAAGAATTTCTCTTAAAAAAAAAAAATCATTGAGGGGAACCTGTGCTGGATTCTGAAAATTAACCCAGTAATTAAATGATTAATATAGTGCCTTAATTGGAAGATATTTTATTTCCCCTTGGGTCATTACCTGTTTCATACAGAAGTGTTTCCTACATGATTATTACACTACTAGAAATGGAAAATCTACTGAAGTCATAGAATCATAAAATGGTTTGTGTTGGACATCTAAGTTCCAAGCCCCCTGCCATGGGTAGCGACACTCACATCATATATTAGAATATTATACTATTGTTATAGTATAATCTAATCGGCAATGAAAACAAAAGACCTGTTCTAATACGTAGCAGAACTCTAAAGAACATGCAGAGAGCTTTTCTGTATTAACTGAACTATTTTGTGCACCAGACTTTACAGTCACTGGAAGGATTACACTGTTCCATGGATAATTGTAAATGATTTTCCTATAAACTGGTTACAGATAGTTATTTTCTTAGGTAAAATTGTATTGCTTCTAGCCAGGCGATATTCTGATCAATGCATGATGTCAGATAAGGCTTGATCAGATGAAAAATACCAGAAGTGAAGAACTTGTTGAGCAGGACTTTTTGTATTTGTGTTTATGCCACAGCAAGCTCTAAAGTTCCAGTGACAACTGAGAGGTTCTCCATTCTAGAGCTACTTCTTACCATGGTAACTAATGAACTGCTTATGTGTGTTATTTTTGCATCTATGTAAATATCAGTTTGCGTTAGGTGTCTATGATTATGAATATAAATATAAATGTGTGACTTCAGTAGTGAAGGTGTAGATGACATAGAAAGCTACAACCAGCTAGAACTGTTTGGGAGTTCAAAACTTGTTTTATATCAGTGTTATTTTTAAAAAGTTAAAGTGTCAGCTAATTGTCTATATACTTCTGGAGCAAACAAAATTTTATGTACGTCTGTATATGTGTGTGGCTTTGGACTGTCTTACATACTATGTTATTAAAGCTAGGTCCGCATTTTGTAATATAAACATGAAGAGCTGGCCAAAGTAAGATCAGCTCTCCCCGTGGAAATATCAGCATTACTTGGGTAATGAGGTAGCTAATTTCTCTATGTAATGACAGTACAATTGACCTCATACTTTCATTTTGGCATTTGGAAGGCAATTAAGAATCAGGCCTTTAACTTTTATCTTAAGTCCCTAGATTATTCCACGTGGCATAGCACGAGTTTGTTAAACCTCCAGTCGTGTCAATTAGACTCATACAGCTCAGTGTCATAAAGCTCCTTGTAGGACAGAACATGATTATTCAAAATGTATATAATTACTTAGCCTGTACACTCAATAAGCATTAGTACAGTCTTTCATACAAGCATGCAATAAATGTTCTAGTCTGAAAACTGTTGATGTAATGCAAATTCATTTTGTTTCATGTTCAGGATTTCAACTAACATGTTGGCTTATGTGGGTTTTGGATTTCTTTGGATTTCTAGAGATTTATTTGTTTTTCATATAAGAAGGCAGATTTAGTTAATAAGTGTATGTTTCTATTAAAACCTGGCAATAATAAGATTGCTATATGAAAATTATTTGTCTTGGCAATTTGGAATATGACAGTCATCCTTGGCCCAAGATGTGAAAGCTGTTGGTCAAGCCTGTGTCCTGCTAAAGTCAGGCCTCTGCTACTTTTTAATTTTTATAAAATTTTCCATTGAAAACTACGTGACAGAATATACTTGCAAAATCGATTAGACAGCACAAACTAATACATTAGATATTAATATTAATTTGTGAGCAGTCAGTTTTCTGCTTATGGTTTCTTTTTTCCTGATGTTTATATAAGGTGAGAAGAAATCCGTGTTCACAAAATAGTTTGTATTAATCATTGTGTACTTTGCTGTCCCAAGGAATGCAGTGTAAATAACTGGAAGACTGACTTGGGAAATACACTCATGTTTAGAGCATGTATTTTAGATACCTTGGTTTCAATAGAAACTAGGTTTATGTATCTGTCATTTGAATCCTTTTCAATAAAAAAGGAGTAATATCCGTGCAAGCTCTAGATGAATACAAGGTACTTAAAATTTCTGTAATGCAGTGATGTGCATTACAAACTCGGTTGAAAGCTCACTAAAGCTAATGGGAATCTCCTGTTGCCATTAGCGTGCTATCAGGCAATCCTTACACCTTACACAAATATAATATATTGACTGATGTGGCTAATATCTCTGTAATCATGAAAATCAGGAGAATATACTGCAGGCTTTAGAACAGA